AGGGCTCTCTGTGGATGAAATAGTACATTGGTATACCACAGAATTAATACAACATTTATTTTCTAATGGGCAGTCTTCTAGGTTTCTACAGTTACATAATTTTTCCCTTTTATCGTCTGGTTTAAGTGCAGAGTTTTTATTAATACTGTTTTGGCATGGGGTTTGTTCAAGATCTTATTATTGTTTTTTTTATTATACGTTCAAGATTATCAGAGCAGCTGTAACTCAATTTTAGGGTGTTCTTATTGAATATATTACTAAGCTTACTATTGGTGGGGAAGTGTTTATCAATTAGAGCTAAGAATTTCTGTCCTAGTTTAATACTAACACTTTGGTTGAACGGAGGGGTGTACCAAATGATATTTCTTTTCCTGTTTTTGTTTCTATGGCCAGTGTAATTTTCTCTATAGTTAATTTTAGCATTTTTATAACCACTATTTTTTAGGGCAGTGTTATAGAAGCTATTGTGTTGTTGGAATATTTCCTTGTTTGCGGAGTTAATGCTAATTCTATTTTCTATTGATGAGGGTATATGTTTAATTATTGATGGAGGGTGGTTTGACTTCGGGTGTATGTATAAAGGGTTAGCATTTGGTTTTCTATAAGGTTGGTATGTGTTGCCTGGTAAGTCTAGAGTTACGTCGAGGAAGTTAACCCTTTTCAAATTAGAAGAGACAGTAATCTTTAAGTTTAGTTTCTTAAATTCACTAAATATAAGATTGAAAAAATCAGAAAAATTATATTTAGTGAATTTAAGAAACTAAACTTAAAGATTACTGTCTCTTCTAATTTGCATAATAACATAGTTATAAAAACCTCGGAGAATTCCAGTAAGATAAATTTAATCATTTCCAAGATACAACAGTTCAAATCTTAATCTAACAATTGGACAATTTTGCTGTTACATGATTTGTACAATTTTGTTGTTACACCCGATATATATTAATAAATACACATTCTATCCCTCATATGTAGCACGATTCAGAATTTCATGCACAACGCAATCTTCAGGTGTTGAGTATAGACTGACCGTCACGTAATTTAAATTTTAATAAAAATATCTGGTTAGCGCAATGCTTGCTCAGTCCATATATTATAGTGATTTTCCATGCGTAGCTTAGATATGGCACAGGGCCGAATGTATGAGGCATCCAGTGAGGACCGAACTCACTACTCAGTCGTAATTGTATTAGCGAGACGAACTTGCTAACTGTTACACCGCCTCGAGATGCCCTCAGTCCATATATTATATGGGGATTACCGTTTTTTATATTAGAAATATATTCTGCATAAAAATATATTCTGCATTTAAAATTAAAAAAATAAATGTCATAATTTACATTCAAAATTAATCTGGATCAACGTATTTTAACAGATATTTATTTTTATGCCTACATAAATTCATTTCTTTTGTTTAATAATCTAAGTGTTTTAAGATAACTAATTTTTCAACAAGACACAAATTACACCTATTGCCTTTTCCATTGAAGCATTTGGTTTTTGCTTCAATATCCCACATAATAATGGGTATATTACCACCACTCTTTATTGCCAGAAATGTTTCGAGAGAGCAGTGCTGTTTATGTATTTGACATTGCCTAAAATTATTCAATAGTGGTAGAAACAATATTTTCAATGATTTTCAGTGGAACCAATGTAAAATTTGACATCGTTACCGGAATCTATGCTGGCTAGGTGTACAATATTATCAGTCATACATGGCTATTTAAGGGACAGATCATATTTTTTGGCAGTTGCATTTATTTTTTTAATTAAATTTATTGTCTTTGCTGGACATGTATCTGTTTAATATATTATATAGCGAATTACCCGTGTTTTGTTGCGTGTCACACATTTCTTTTGTAAGAAAATGATGATTGATTTTAAATCATTGTTATAATTTGTAGAGAAAAATGATGCATTTCAGTATAACTCAATGATCTTGCTGATGTGACCTCAATCTTCTGGCTTTCTCTTTCTATATTTCGGATAGGAGTCATTCCCTTGTTCAAATTTAAATTTCATTTAAATCAAAGGAAAAATATTTTCAGTGGGTGGTCTTTGACCCCACCCCTGTACCCTAGGTGTCATTCCCTTGCTCAAATTTAAATTTAATTTGTATCAAAGGGTAAAAATTCAGTGGGGCGCTTGTGCCCCCCCCCCCCGATCGAAATCAAATATACTTATCCAAGTTCCCTGGGTAATGTAGTTTCAGAATATATATGGTTATTGTGGGGGGGGGCTACCTCCAAAATAAACAGACAGACAGAGGCTACAAATTTATATATATAGATATATTATATATATATATATATATATATATATATATATATATATATATATATATATATATATATATATATATATCGTACTTTCCATCCTCTGTTCCAGATATTTAAATTGTTGTACTTGTTCTCATACTTGCAATTTGTATCTTAGGTTGTCCCTTTTGCTAACAATTATGGATTCTGTCTTCTTGCAGTTGATGTTTAGTCCTACCTTTTCTTCATTGACTTCTGTAGGAGTTCTTGTAGTTTTCCTTTCTGTGTCTGCTATCAACACTGTGTCATCAGCATATCAGCTAAGATTGTGATCACCAATAATGAGTCCTGGTAGGACTTTTAATTCTCTCAGAATCGTCTCACTGTACCTTAATAAATCCGGTGAGAAGACCCATCGTTGTCTGAAATTTCTTTCTATTTTTTGTATATTTACTGAACTCATTTCCTATTCGTATGCAGGCCTTTTGCTGTCGATATAAGTTCTGGATTATTTTAATGTCCTGGCCAAATATGTCAAAGTTCCAGGGCAATTCCAACAGTTTTTTGTGACATACGAGTGTTCATAGTTTATAATCTGTTCTTCTGAAACTACCCACAAGAAGACCACGCCCTCCGAAGAAGATACATTGCTGCTACCATAATTAATCATTCAGTATGTCTTTCATTTAACAATAGACGCTTTGTGATTACAATTGACCTCCTGATTATAACATTAACAACAATATCTGACTTTCGCTGTATCTCTGAACCAAAGACAATTTTTAACTTTATCAACTAATGAAAATCCCATTTATTTTAAATAGACATTTTTTTTTTTTGCTGTTGTACTTATTTTTTTAGAACGAAGCCTATAGACTTTTTCTGTATATAAGACATATATGGATAAAAAAAAGACAATTAGAAAATAGTTCTTAGTCCTTGTCGACGCATTTCGTCATCCGACCTAATGAAGGCAAGTGATGATAAACAAAAGTGAAACGTTGTGTAGTTACATCAAATTCAAAAATTAAAAAAAAAAAAGATGCTCCTGTGCAAATCACTTTCTGGATTATTGGTAACTTTTTTTTTATCGTTAGAATTATTCTGAATTATTAACACTGTTGCCGACATGGAAAACAAAAACAAACTCTTATTTAAAAAAAAAAAAAAGAAGTTACTAATATCCAGAAAGAGGCTTACACAGGAGCATCTTTTTTTAAATTTTTGAATTTGATGTAATTACGCAACATTTCACTTTTATTTATCACCACTTGCCATTATAAAGTCGAATGACGAAACGCTTCGGCAAGGACTAAGAACTATTTTCCAATTGTCTTTTTTATCCAATTTGTCTTATATTCAGAACTATTCTGAGAAATTTAATATAAGACATATAGAAGTTTTCGAAGCTATTAATTAATGGTTGGCTACTACCGGTTTTCAAGCACACGCGTCTGTCAGGGCGGGAAGCAAATCCTTGTTACAGACGCCCGATCAGTCCACAGAGTCCGTCTATGGTATTATTTACTTCGTCTCCCCACTGATGCATGATGTGACACAAGGTCGGGTTTACTGTGGGGAATCTGAGCACGTGCACTCGAGCCAAGGACAAAAATGCTTCAAGCCCCCTCAACCGCCGGTTGCGCCGCTCTTGGTGGCCAGCACCGATCCCCTTCTTTAGGGCAATGAGTGGGTGCAACCGCGGGTAGCTGTTCCCCTGGACCGGGTACCTCAAAGTATTATTTTCCTTAGTTGAGATTCTGTCCGCAAACAGAGGCCACAACTAAGTCGCAATCTGTCCGAAGACATTGACACAAGAGGGAGATGATAAACCCTACCCGGCATGTGCCACTGTAGGGTTTATACTGCAACTAAGCTGACTACACCTTAGTTACAGTTTCTGGGAGAGAGTACGTAATCTGGCGTGATCATTTTTTAACACGGCCAACATGCTCAACCTCGGTCACGATGACTTGTCACTTCCTGCTAGCACGATCATCAATGACTTCCAAACACTTCCATTTACCCAATTTCACTCTAAAGGCTCCCAATTCACTTGGGTTAAGCCGTGGTAGAGTTTTCATGCGCTGTGATCGCCTACCCAGGCCGATTTTTATCAATAAGCCACCTACCTGAGCAATCAGCCATGGTGAGATTCGAACCCGAGTTTTAGGGTCACAAACGATCCGAACATACGGATACGAATGAAAAACGAATGATTATATTTGGCAAACATCCCATTGGTAACGGTTTCTAGCTGGAGTTTTTACCAATCACAATGGAGGCGGTCATTATAGCAATAAAAAAGCGTGGAGGGAGGAGTGTTTTAGTGTGCAAATTGGTTTGTTGAAAAACAGACGACAACAGGTTAAAAAAAATAAAGAGATAAAACATTGGGGGAAAGAAGGAGACAAAAGACACGAGGGAGGGGGAGTTAGAAAAAATAAAAGAAATAGTAGTGAGGTGCTTTAGAAAGATGTGGAAAGAGAGAGCTAAGAATCAATAAAGGGTGGTGGAGAAGTAAGAATGTGAAAGAGAAGGGACAGAAAGAGGCAGGTCATTTAAATTGTAAAGGTGCTTTGAATGAAAAAAATCTTTCTACCTTTACCCACCAGTTTGTTACGGCTTTGCCTGTTGGGCCGCCTCTACCAGTTGAGACATGAGAATGTGGGTAAAGTTTTATATTTGAAGATAAGCAAAGAAGCTATGTACTCTATTGAAATGTCTACCTGAAAATAGTCCCGTTATTTCACATCTATCTATCTATCTATCTATCTATCTATCTATCTATCTATCTATCTATCTAATTTTGTTCAAATCTTTCTATTCTCCCCGTCTGTCTGTCTGTCTGTCTGTCTGTCTGTCTGTCTGTCTCTCTCTCTCTCTATATATATATATATATATATATATATATATATATATATATATATATATATATATATATATATATATATATATATATATATATATATATATCTATCTATCTATCTATCTATATATATATATAGAGAGAGAGAGAGAGAGAGAGATAGAGAGAATTGTTCATTTCTAACTGTCTATCTATCTATCTATCTATCTCAGTCTGTTCATATCTATCTGTCTGTCTATCTATCTATCTATCTATCTTTCTGTCTGTCTGTCTGTCTCAGTCTGTTTATATCTATCTATCTATCTATCTATCTATCTATCTATCTATCTATCTATCTCAGTCTGTTTATATCTATCTATCTATCTATCTATCTATCTATCTACCTACCTACCTACCTACCTACCTATCTACCGATCTCTCCCAGTCTCTTCATATCTATCTATCTATCTATCTATCTATCTATCTATCTATCTATCTATCTATCTATCTATCTATCTATTCACAAACAAATCGAATGGGTCTTTCGCTAATATTTGGAACTCTATATCTATGGATTCCAGACAAACATTCCTTCTTAAATGCCGAGACCCTTCAAAACATCGGCGACAATAACTCTCTACATTATACTTTCTTTAATATCCTAGATCAGCCATGACAATTCTTGGAGTGGTTTTCCGTTGGCTTCTCCATATTTTAATTTTAAATTCAAAGTTAATCTTCTCCTATACTAGTTGCCAACCGAGGCTAAAGGGTCCAGTCTACCATTTAACCCGTAGCTGAGGAGAAGAGATATAAGAAAAAAGAGAGCCCAGACTGGTCTAGTTGGGAGTTGATCACGGATCACTGTTTTCATTTACTCCGCCTATTAACTGTTAAAACAGCCGTCTTCTGGTTGGCCGGTGAAATAGCCGTTTTCATTTGCAATTCATTGACTGAAGAGTTTCGTTTGAAATTTATAAAATCTTTTTATTAAAAAAAAATTGTTCAGGAAAATAGAATTCTCAAGTCCATTAAATGTTATAGCTCTTTCAAATATTTAATTTCCTTCCTTCCTTTTCATTTGCTTCTTTCTTTTTTTCTTTCTTTTTTCTTTCTTTCTTTTCTCCGCATTTCTGTTCTTCTTTCTCTATTTCTATTCTTTTTTCTGGTTCCTTTATTTTCTTTTTCTTTCCTTCTCTCTTTCTTTATTTCTTCTTTTCTCTTTTTTCCTCCGTTTTTCTTTCTTTGGGTCCTTTTTTTCGTTTCTTTTGTCTTTTTCTTTTTTCTTTCTTTCCATCCTTTTTTCTTTTTCCTTTCTTTTCTCCTCCTTTCCTATCATTCTTTCATTCTGTCTTTTTTCTTTCCATCCTTTTTATTTTTCCTTTGCTTTCTTTTTTATTCCTTCTTTCCTTCCTTCATTTCTCTTCATCCTTTTTCCTTCTTTTTACCTTTCCATTCTTTTTCCTTTCTTTTCTCTTTCGCTTCGTTCTTTCTTTCTTTCTTTCTTTCTTTCATTATTTATTTAATTCCGTTCTTCTTTCTTTCTAATCGTTTTTCTTTCTTCTTTATTTTCCTCTTTCTTTCTTTCTTTTTTAACCTTCTTCCTTTAATTCTTTCCATTATTTTTCTTTATTTTCTCTTCGTTCCGATCTTTCTTTGTTTCTTTCTTTTCTTCTTTTCCTCTTCCTTTCTGTTCTTCTTTCTTTCCATCCATTTTTTTCTTCTTTCTTTCTTTCTTTCTTTAACTTGTTTTCAGTTAACCGCTCGAGTGTTTAATCTTGAGTTAACCCAACAAATTCTCCCACCTTACCTAGGGTGGGGGTGGGGCCTGACAGAGCAGAGGCGGGGGGTGGGTAGCAAGAAAAAAAATGGGAAATATATCAGATATGGAAGTAGCATCGGTGGGAGAAGTAAATCAAACACTGAAAGTCGAACGAGAGGGTTCGACTTGAAATTTATCTTCTTCAAAGTTGCGAACTGGGGGAGGGGGTAAATTCTAGTTTATTCGTGCGTCAAAACGAATTGAAATTATTTATTATTGCCTTTCAAGTGTGCAAAAGGATTTGTTCGCACCTGCCAAATGTCGACACGTTCATTTTTAAATGTTTTTATTTTTTTTTAAATTATCGCAAAAAAACTAGGTCCCTCCAAATATTCGTTAAAAATGGCCATATCATGATAAAAAAATCCCAAACTTAATAAAAACAAAGTTTAATCGTAAAAAATATTTGTTATTATTAAGAGGAAAGAGCAAAGGGTTTTTTATTATTAAATTATATTTTTTAATTCTTTTTAGAAATTTCAAAATTTTCGCTAATTTTTTTTCTTGCATCAACGGATGACCATAAATTAGTATGAGAAAGTTTAGCTTCTTTTTGCCGTGAAAAACTCATTGATTTGGAAATTCTTCCAAAAATCAAATAATTGTTGGATTTTAAATGAAATTTTCAGAACTTATTTACAAATGAACGAAATTATGTTTTGTCTTTAAAATTGTTAGTATTTTTTTTACATCTGTTATCTTCCTCGCCATCATCACTTATTTCCTTTAATGAAATTCATTTGTGTAACGCTTAATGTTTATATTAGTTATAAGCACAAGTCCTTGGAGAATTTATATCAGTATTTTTTTTATTTATTTATTTATTTTATTATTTTTTTTTGTCAAACAGGACCCCCAGTTACAGAAAATCATCTCTGAATTGTTAATTTAAAAAATACGATAAAACTAAAATATTATTTAATTAGAAAAGCTTTTAATTGCTTTTATGAATAAAAATATATTATGAGCATTATTGTGTTAAGATTATTATTTTCCATGAATAATGAATTTTTACAGGAATTAGTTTAATTTTATTTTATTTTAATTATAATAATATATAAAATTTTAATTCTTTTAAAATTCTGTATTAATTTGTCGTGATTAAGTGCTAATCTTATTAAGTAAAACCTATATTTACTAATTATAAATGGAAAAGCTTACTACTATTCAACGACTCCAATATCTTAAAAAGAATTTTACACTTTTTTTGTATCTGTATAAACGTGTCGATTTTTTGTAAATACGGACATCCATATACGAGCAGTAACTATAATAAATTTAAAATTTAATGATAATTTTCTAACATTTCCTCAACAAGCGTCTTCATAAGTAAGACTATAAAGTCAAAGTACCTATAATTCAATAAAATACTAGGAATAGTTTCCTAAATTTTTAAAGTTACTGGATAGTTAAAAAATTATATAAAACGTTGTATTCCTCAAGTATTTTTAACAGTTATGTGTCCCTTACTTAAAAATGCCTAACATCAGGTTATCAATAAAATTGTTGGCACCCATATAACCTCCACCTCCGTGTTACAAAATTTTTTTCTTTGATATTTTAAAGTAAAATGTGGTTTCATTTTATTTGAATTGGCTAGATGTAACAGTAAGTTCTAAGAGTTTCTTTTCTCGCACTTCTCATTTGTGAAACTCTCTTCCGGCTCCATTCTTTCCGGACAACTTTGATCTACAAAAAATTAAATGTAATGTCAATCGCTATCGACTGTCTTTCTGATTACTCTGCTATTGTTTTCACTCCTTCATAATGTTTTTCTAATTCTTTCACGCCTTGTCTTAGTGGCTTTACTGCATTGCTTCGGACAAATTCGATTAAAAAAATTCGAATTCATTAGACTTTAAATCAGTTAATTTATTTAAAATAATGTTTCAGAAAAATATATTTTATTTTTGAAAGACTTTTTAATAAAGGGAATTACGTTGTTTTTAACGATTTGTCAATATGGCTGATTTTAGTGATTAAATTATTATTGAAAATGTTAAATTTAGTGATTAAATTATTATTGGAAATATTAAATTTAATCTATTAGTTTGGAATTAAACCTAAAATAAAAGCGTCAAGAAAGGTTTTTCCTTTTTAAAATGCATTTTAAACCTTAGTCATCGCTTTTGTTTGGAGGAAGCTGAAAAAAACGAAATGTGCAAATTTATAATTTTATGAACATTACGATTTGTCAATTTTCTACCAAATAATTAAAAAAGTTTATTGATATTAAAATTATATTTACCGTTGTACACGAACATATATCAAGTCTGGGATGTAAACGTGGCTCGAACACGTTATGAAAAGTTTGTAAAACTTTATAAAAGTCTATAACATTGTGAGGAATAAAATATCTAAAACACTGTATAACACTCTCAGCTTGGGTTTGAAGATTTTACAATATGTCAGTCCTTTTTGGTCTCTAATGTCAAAATCATGTTTTTTTTAATCATATTTTTGTCTGTAAGCATTTATTTTCTTCAGTACATATTAGAGACATAAGAAAAGGGAAATATACAACAGTGGTGTTTTACCGGAAGACCTAAGTAGATCTATTTTTATAACACTGCCTAAGAAGCCAAGTGCAAATGAATGTGAAGACAGACAGACAGACAGACAGACAGACAGACAAAAGCATAATGAGCCATATAACAAATCTTATCTGAATTCTGATGAAGAAAGCACAAAGTAGAATCAAACAGTAAACAGGACAAGAACAGTTCGGCTCCATTAAAGACACCGGAACAAGAAATGCAATATTTATGCTTAGAATGATATCAGAAGGAGCAATACAAAAGTATATACACCTATGTTTTATAGATTATACAAAAGCAGTTTATAAAGTATGTCGCAAAGAACTATTTGAAGTGCTAGGGAAGCTTGATTTATTTTGGAAATATGTTAGAATAATCTAGAACTTATACTGACAGAAGACCGTCTACATAATGATAGAAAATGAATTCAGTAAATACACAAACCTAAAAATGGATGAACCAAACTTCTAACCAAACTTCTTCAAACTTTAGAGTAAAGTGATCCTGAGGAAATTAAAAGTCCTACCAGGATTCATTAGTGGCGGCCACAATCTTAACTATAATATAAGATAAGTGTTGATAGCAGACTGAGAAAGGAAACTACAAGAACTCCTACAGAATGAAGGAAAGGTAGAACTAAACATCAAATGCAAGAAGACAGAATGTATGGTTGTTTGCAAAAGAGACAGTCCAAAATGCAAATTACAAATCGGGGATAACAAAATCAAACAAGTACAAAAAGTGTTTTAACAGAAGACGGTAAACATGAAACAGAAATCCAAAGGCGCATTGAGGTAAAATAAAATTTTTAAAAAAAGGCAAAGAAAGAGAAAAAGAAAAGAAAAGTGAACTGTTAAGTAATATGCAATCTATATGGCAGTGAATGTTGAAAAGGATTAAGATAGATAGATAGATAGATAGATAGATAGATAGATAGATAGATAGATAGATATGAACAGAGCCTTAGATAGATAGATAGATAGATAGATAGATAGATAGATAGATAGATAGATAGATTTTTTTAAGCGTTTCACCCCAAGCAAGGCGAGAAGCCACTAGGACGCAAGGGGTTACAGAAGATTTGGAGCAAGATCAGATAGGAGTGATAGAGGAAAGGATGAGAAGAGTAGTGGATAGATCAAGGCAACTAGAGATGTCGATTGACATTACATTTGAATAGCTGGAGATTATAACTCTCAGGGAAACTGGAATAGGGAATGGAGTTCCACAGGCGAGAGGTGCGAGACATGAAGCTATTGGAGTAGAAAAGACAGCTACATTTAGGAGTTTCGACAGTGAAAGGGTGAGAGCGAGATGCCAGCCTCGGAGGGCGCTTGAATTCATGAAGTCTGGGAACCAGCGAATGCAGCTCCTTGGAGTAATTGCCATGAAAGTATTTGTAAAACAGACAGAGAGAGGCGACGGCGCGTCTGTGAGATCCCAGAGATATGAACAGAACCTGAGATAGATAGATAGATAGATAGATAGATAGATAGATAGATAGATAGATAGATAGATAGATAGATAAGAAAAGACTTAGATAATAAGTGGAGATATTTGCCATAAATAGAGTGAAACAATGGTTTCTGCGACTTCTTTAAAAACTACAAACTCAAAGCTCGTCGTAGATGAAGAAGAGACTTGAATCAACAGAAATGTGGTTCTACAGAAGGATGCTGAGAAAATATCATGAACCGCACACATGAGTATCGACGATGTTTTAGAGAAAATAGAAACAAAATAGAAAACTTATACTTAACATCAGGAAGAGACATTTCAGACTACTAGGGCCCATAACGAGGAAAGTGGGAGTGGAAAATTTGATACTCACAGGATGGATTGAAAGCAAGAGGGACAGAGTAAAAAACATAAAATACCGAGTGAGCTTGAGTAAATGAATGGTGGAGTAAGGTTTAGGGGAGATAACAAAAAGACAAAATTTATTAAGAGCGACAAAGGACAGGAAATTGTGGAGAGCTATGGTCGCCAACGTCCTGAAGGGACAAGGCACATATAAGGAGAAGAATGGGCTTTTGTAAATGGATTACGGAATAAGGTTTAGGAGAGATGACAAAATTTATTAAGAGCTACAAAGGACAAGAAATTGTGGAGAGCCATGATCGCCAACGTCCTGAGGAGACATGATACAAAGAAGAATATTGGTTGTTTATATTTGAGTCTATAAAAAT